TGATAAAGTTAAAATAAATGATCATATGTCATTGACTAGGAATACCGGCACATAAATAAGTTTCTCTCCTTGTGTTAGAACTTTACTAATTTCGGTGATGATTTAATTTCATATATTTTCTCCTTTTTGGGCAGTGCATCAAGTATGCTCGACTAATGTTGTTGTTAGACTAGAAAAATGCAAACTTATGGGTTTCGGTTAAAATTACCAACTTTTTTGCTTGCATGAACTTTAGGCCCACAAGGGAGTTGCTAAATTCGGTACATTTCTCTCACTAACCAGAAGCTTCAACTTCATCTGCCAGAACCTCACCAGTATCCAATTCAAAAGCATCAGCTTCATTAGAGGGACAGTCAGAACCGCTGTTGAAGAAGAAAGTGAGACTTCTATTGATTCGGAAGAGGATTACAAATCATCAAGGCTTCGAATGAAGCCGAAACGTCAGAAGAAAACTTCTTCTCTGGTCTCTGTTAAGAGGCCTCTAGATGAGGCCAATGTCTCTGAGCAGTCTTAGGTTAAAAGGCCAAAAGTTTCGGATTCTTCTACTTCTGCAAAGAACAAGCAGGTGTCAGCCAAAAAAGAAGCAAAGGAAGAGGAGGATGATGACCTCATTACAATTGCCGATCGAGCTAAGAAAGTCAGGTCAGATAATAAATCATCTGTGGCATTGATTGTTTAGCCGATCGAGCTAAACGTGTGTAGCGAATCAACCACAATAGTCAGATAACGACCTAAGGTTAATATAAATATAGAAGCGCAATAATCACAAATGATTAATCCAAATACGAAAGACTCCACCGACAACATGCACACAAGTGTACCTCCACAAATTGTCATAGAGGGCCAAATAAATTCTGACATAAAACTCGCAAGCCTGCAAAAGTCCAGCATAGACCACAACTCACAAAACTACTACTCCAGTTTTTTTTTTTTTTTTTTTTTTTTTTTTTGGGGGCCTTTTTTTTTTTAGAGAAGCAATAATATACTAAACAAACTCAAAAAGAGTTGATGTACTTATTACAAACAAAAATTATTAACACATTAAGTAAATCAAAAGCTGGAACCCGAGATTTGCAAAACAACCAACAAAGGTAGCCACGTCATCCACGAACAAATCAAAAGCTAGAACCCTATGTCTGCAACATATATATATATATATGTAAAATTAAAAAGGAGAGGGATGTAAGAGAGGGGCTAGTAAGAAGGGAGATGAGGTTAGGGATGGGAGAAAAACTTAGTTTCAACGCGTGTCATATCATTATTGGTTGAGAATAGCAAAATAGTGTTATTTCCGTTTCATGAAAGTCTTTCTCGTGGGAATGAGATAAAAGGACAAAAGAAGGAAAAGTAGGAGAGGGGCAGGTTTTGTGCATCAAAGAGAGGAGAGGGGTGGTCAAGGTATGTGTGGCTAGAGAGGTTTTTTCTTAGGAGGAGGGCTAAAACATTGAGGATTTTATGTACCTATATATCTTATAATACATAATCCCTTATATATGCCTCATGTAATTATTTCACAAAAAGCATAACTGTATTTGGAAAATTAGTAATGGTACACATTTACTCCTTAAATTTTCATTTTACTTTTTTTTTTTTTGGCCAAAAAAATTTCCTTTTATTTCACAATATATATGATTTGTCTCTTATATCACTCAATCACTCTAATGATCTTTGTATAATAATAATCGCAAAATCGGATGATTAATGCATGTAATTAGCATGCATAACATGTCATATCTATAGAGAAATTAAGTTGTATTGTCTATGTTTCAATCCTACGAAATCGTATTTTAACAAAAGACAATCTACTTTTTAACGAACTCTTTATATAAGAGATTTGATTTATTATCAATGGCCTCTAATCATATATGATCTAGATACAACCGCTGTTTAATAAGAGTAATATTACTCTTATTACATATGTATATTACATTCTCATACCATCTTATGTGGCAAATGAAGTAGACAACCACATCAATTAAAAAGTAGCAATAAACCATAAAGAAAAGAAAATTTTATTTACACTTGCATCCTTCAGATTTTTAGTGTTTTCACAAAACCCCTTGAGGTTTCAAAAATTATACGAACACTCCCGTAGATTTCAAATTGTTTTCACAAAACCTGTATTTGTTGATTGTTCGTCCAAATATTGATGATTTCATATAATAAAAACTTATGCGAATGACAAAATTAAGCTCAATGAATGTATGTGCAATATAATATCATAGGGTAACTTTGTAATTTGAAGAATTTTTTTTTATACAAAATCATCAATCTTGGAAGCAAAATCAACAAAAATGCGTTTTGTAAAAATAATTTAAAACCTTAGGGGGTGTATGTGTAATTTTTGAAACATCAGGGGATTTTTTGAAAATATCAAAAACCTCAGGGGATGTTAGTGTAAATAACTCTTTTTACGTTAGTCTAAAAAGATGTGAAACCCCATATTTTTAAATACGTATATTAATATTTCATAAAATTAAATATTTACAATTATTAGTCTTCAAAACTATATAATTAATAATATATCTATATATATAAATATAAATTGTATGGCAAGTTACGTGAAGTTAACTAGTATAGCCTATCAAATGTTATTGCATGGCTTTAATTATTTCAATTCATTTCAGCATTATTTATTATTATTATTATATATAGATATATATATACTTACTTTACAAAAACTGTTAGAAAGACATTTATGCTTACTAAGCATTGTTGAAGACTGACGTGTTGCAATGTAGTGTCCTCAAAACCAATTAAAGCATGAGGTGTAAGAATGATAGTTATTCCTATATATATAAACTTGATAGGAGAGTGCTCACTAAGCACTCTACAAAGCCAACACAAAAGGCTATTTGAGAGTCTAGGAACCTATAGACTAATTAGGTGGCACAACATTAAGCTTCATCTAACCGACTCTAGCTTACTATAAATAGGTCTACTCAATAGTTCTTTGATCATAGGTACTTCAAGTGTGTTAGTCTCCTAAAAATAAATATTGTAAATACTACATTAGGCTTGATAATATTTGATTATTGTTATGCTTGGTTATATTGTTTGATTGTTATCCTTGGTATTAGATATATACATGTTGTCAATTATCTTACAATTTGATGAATTTTGACATATTCATATGTTGTCGGTGGTGGTTGGAATTTGATAAAGAAATTATGGAAAAGAGGATAATGGGAAGTATCTTTTATGTAGTTGAGTCTAACCATTGTAGGGACCAAGTTCAGGTGAGCCCGTGTGCACGGTAGATTAGGAAATCGGCGGTATAATTGTCGATTGGGTGATTTGGGCTTGGAGATCAATGGTGTAGACAAGATGACTAGCAAAAGGGGAATTATGGGAGGGATGATTGAAATGGGTGTTAGTTTATATAATGGGACATTCGGAATCACAGTGATAAAATGCATGGTATGGGACATGCAGATTTGCTTGCCCTATTATATAGATTAACGGGTTGGGTAGAATTGAAGTTCATTCATGCATTGTATAAATTGTATATTATAAATCTCACTAATCACATAAGACATAGGACCTCTACTGAGCATGTAATGCTCACCCCTTATTGAATCTATTGCAGGCTTTGAAACTGAAGTGTAGTTTTTGCTTAGAAAACAAGAAGAACGGATTATGGTTTTGAGTGTTTTGTTGAAAGTTTGTTACTTTCTTGTTATTTTGCTTGTAATAATACAATGTAAATTACTTTGATTTAAATGGAAGTCTACGTTCAATCTTCATGTTTCTTGATAATTAAATTTTTAGTTTTAGTTTTTCTTTTACCTCACATTCCCAAATAAAATAAATAAATAAATAATTGGGGTGTGACAAAAGAGGTTCCCGTTTTTTATTACATAAATTTTTTATATATAAATATTTATCAATTTCTATTTGAGTTTCCTGCTTGACAAATGTTTTATTTAAAAAATTAGAGTAAACATGGTCTCCCTTAAAAATAGGAGACCATACATTGCTTTCAAGAAAGTAGGAGAAATTATATATATAATGGTACGTTATCGCCACGCCAAATGGTGATACTTCCACTCAAAATTTGTCATGTATACAATCTTTTTACAAATAGATTTAACACCTTTTTTTATATTTAAAAACAAATTTTAAAAAAGAAAAAACTTAGAAAATGAAAAATAAAATGCCCAGCAACAATCTGCCTCAATGTCAAAAACCCCACTCCTATACTGCCTGCCATGGAATTGTATCAAATTCCTTAAAAACTTTGTCTGAAATGAAACCTATATTTTCTGGGCTTACAAGACCATAGAGGATTCAATTGATTCCTCAATACCATAAATCCACCCCCTTCCACATCCTCAATCTATTTCGTTGAGCCCTGGATTGAGAGAGAGAGAGGTAGGTGCACTCACTTGAAAAGTGCACGTCCCTGCCATCCATTGCAGAGGCTCAGAAAGTTGAAATATTGCATGGTGGGATGCTTTGGTTTGTCGTTCTACAAAGCACTCAAAGGTTAAAATGGTTGTCTTAGGTTCTTCTACTTCTGCAAAGAACAAGCAGGTGTCAGCTAAAAAAGAAGCAAAGGTAAGGTAAGGAAGGAAGAAGAGGATGACGACTTCATTACGATTGCCGCTCGAGCTAAGAAAAGTCAGGTCAAAGCAAAAGAAGGTAACAAAAGTGGGTTCATCTTCAATCAAGAAAACGATCAAGAAGGGCAAAGTTTTTGTAAGTACTGTAAATCGACAAACGTGGCACCAAGCTCTAATGATGAGCAGGAAATATGGTCTACTTTAGTTCACAAATGGTGCCATCTTCCCACCTTCACACAAGCCTCATGGGGTAAAGATGCTCTACAATGGGGAACCAGTCAACTTAACTCCTCAACAAGAGGAAGAAATTAAAACCTTGTGTGCCTTTCCTATTAAAGTACTTGAGAATTCATAAATGGAAATTTTAGTGAACAATAGAAACTTGTTACATACATTCCAAATGGATCGATACAGAAGAAATTAATCAAACCTTGGCAAACTACTAAACAAACAATGAAAAGCATAAACTTGCGTGAGCAAGCACTGGTGTCATATTTAGGACTACTTGTTAAACAAAGAAGCACAGATACTTCAATTCCTTCAGGATTTCTCTGAGTCTTGTGAAGAATCAGAACTTGAGGAGGGGTATCCGATTCCATGGCGACTATTAAGGAACACAACGAAAACAGCACTGGCAACTGCACCGATGACAGGAGGCAACGCCTGCAGCAGAACCTTCTCACTGGACTCAAACCCTGGATAGAAGCACCTGACACTGTTGGTGTCCAAAAGTGATACAACTGCAAACACAATCAAGGAAAAGAAGGCATGCACGAAGTCCCCAAACCTAAGCTTATAAGCAGACAAGTCCACAGAGTTGGAATTTGTTGAGGGCCAAAGACCCTTAGTTGTTGCAACCCCATAGTGGGTTTTTCCATCACTGCCAGAGTAACTGTCAGTGAAGGAAGCAAAAAAGCAAGAGAAGCCGGAAATGGCGATGAGAATGGCGCTTAGGGATTTGTTGAGGACGGCGCAGTGGCCATTGTTGGTCAAGACAGGGTTGAGGAACTGGAACAAGAAGACGGTGCCGGTCGGGAGGACCTTGATGAGGTTGCCTGCTCCCGTTAATGTTCTGTCGTTGACAGTTTTCCTGGAGGAAGAGCTAGTAGAATCAACCATTTGGGAATTAATGTGTTTTTGAGGGAGTTTAAAAGTGTTCTTTTGTTGTGTTGTGTGTAGTGGTTCTTGTATTTATAGAGAAAGTGAGGGAATTGGTTTGTTTATGTGATGGAAGAGAGCACTTGCTTTCAAGTTGCTTTATTTTATAAAGGGCGGACTTCGATTCTAATACAAAGCTTAGAGGAACATACATAGTGTTCAATTTACTGAAGCGTGTGTAGAGAAAATTGACAAATATTGTTGAATTTACTGAAGCGTGTGTAGAGAAAATTGTCTTATATAGAAATGAAAGGGCATACGTTAAAGTTAATTAAATATATCTAACCAAGTCCAATTGGAAATGGAGGTGTCTTATTTTTTTCGTTTTGTTTTGGTGTGGACTAGATATATATATATATATATATATATGCATTGTTATTTATATTTGTTGACATCACACATATATATTGTACATAAACAAAACCGAATAACAACAACTAATTAGACAAATAAAGAAGGAAAGTGCATAACCAAAAACAAGGAATGCTTGCTATATATGCATATGATATTATGTACGGAAAACGACGCCATGGAAAACGACGCTATGGTTTGCTTACAATATATATCTAATCCTGGAGCTAGTAAATATTTAATTAGTTACCTATATATCTAGCTATGGTTTGCCATCATGTGTATACTGTACAGAAAACGACGCTATGGTTACCCACAACTGAAATAAAAAACAAAAAAAAAGAAGAAAAAATAATTGGGATGCTTCTGTACATAGATGTATTATGTACAACAACTATTGAAAGACTATCAACCATACGATTGCAAGAAGAGGGGTATCAAAGATCATACACATGAAAGCGTAGAAAAAGAAGAAGAATTTTTTCATCTCCACTTAACAAGCACACACATTCTGGAAAGCGTAGAGCACGTTTTTAGGGTTGACATAAGATTTGTCATGGTTATTTCTCTTTATACTTACCCACTTTAAATTCTAACGAAATCGGGCAACTCATTAATTCCTTCAAAATAAATAACTTTTTGAATACATCTGAACTTTGTTTGACTTCTAAAAAGTCATAATTAAATACACCTAGATTTCGATGTACTTTTTTAAAATCACTAGAAATCTGAATTGAATACACCCAAATTTTTACAAACTCTTTTAAAATCTTAATTGAATACATCTAGACTTTTAAACTTTTTTAAACTCTTAATTGAATATACCCCCTTTTGTCTGAAATAAAACCTATATTTTATGGGCTTACAGGACCATAGAGGATTCAATTGATTCCTCAATACCATAAATCCACCCCCTTCCACATCCTTAATCTATTTTGTTGAACCCTAGATTGAGACAGAGGTAGGTGCACTTACTTGAAAAGTGCACGTCCTTGCCATCCATTGCAGAGGCTCCGAAAATTGAAATCACTACAAACAAACAAAAAATTAGACAAACAACTAAACAAACAATGAAAAGCATAAACTTGCGTGAGCAAGCACTAGTGTCATATTTTGGAGTCCTAAATTAGGACTACTTATTAAACAAAGAAGTGTTAGAGTTTCTGGTATTCTTGCTGGGTTTTTGCGAATGGTTTTGTAAGAGAAGAATAGAAGAATCGGATAGAATGAGAAAAGTGCTCTGCTTACACACCAAGTCTGTGTGCAAGACGATTTGTATATATTTTGTCTGTATGTAAGAATGGATCTCAGCCATCCATCTGACCAAAAACTAAAGTCACCACATATGACCACTTTTGACCTCACACTTGGCAGATATGCTCAAGTGAATACACACATAAAGTTCATCTTATTACACTAATACTAATCAGCTACAGACTTATAATTCAACACTCCCCATTAAGTCTTGAGCTGATTTCACTCTGAGCATACTCCTGAGATAGCTGAAGCGATCCTTAGCCAAAGGTTTTGTGAAGATATCTGCTACCTGCTCTTTAGTGGGACAATACACCAAATCAATGGTTCCTTCCTGCAATGCATCCTTAATAAAATGATACCTTCTGTCAATGTGCTTGGTCTTTTGATGGAACACAGAATTCTTTGTAATAGCAATGGCAGAAGTGTTATCACAGTGAAGAGGAGTAGCTTCAGTTTGTATTCCTCCAAAATCTTCCAAAATGAACCTCAGCCATATTGCTTGAGTTGTGGCTTCTGAAGCGCTTATATATTCAGCTTCTGTAGTTGAAAGTGCAACACAGTTTTGCTTGACTGAAGCCCAAGAAAACACCCCACTCCCAAATGAGAATGCATATCCTGATGTACTCTTGCTGTCCTCCAATGAGCCACCCCAATCGCTGTCACAAAAGCCTATTAAACAAGCTTTCCTTCCCTTCACATACTCCAGGCCATAATCCAGAGTTCCCTTGATGTATCTGAGTACTCTTTTTGCAGTTTCATAGTGTTTATTGGTAGGGCAATGCATGAATCTTGCCAATAAACTTGTTGCATACATTATATCCGACCTTGTAGCAGTGAGATATAGAAGACTTCCCACAATGCTTCTATACTTTTCCTCACTTGCTGATCCACTTCCATCATCTTTAGATAACTTCTCAGTAGCTACAAGTGGAGTTGTGACAGTCTTTGCTTCATTTAATCCAAACTTACTCAGTAAAGAACTTGCATACTTCTTCTGATGAATGAATATGCTAGAGTTAGTTTGAATCACTCCCATTCCGAGGAAGTGGTGAAGAAGTCCCAAGTCTGTCATCTTATATTTCATTTTCATGTCTTCCTTAAACTCTTCCAGCATTGATTTGCAATTGCCAGTGTAGACTATATCGTCCACATAGATAGAAACAATCAAGATATCTTCTCCCCTTGCTTTTATGTATAGAGTTGGTTCACTCAAGCTCTTCTTGAAACCACACTGTGAGAAATAATTGTCAATCTCTCCATACCAAGCCCTCGGAGCTTGTTTTAGGCCATAGAGAGCCTTATGAAGCTTGTACACCTTTTTCTCCTTGCCTTCGACTACAAAACCTTCCTGCTGCTCAACATAAACCTCTTCTTGTAGAACTCCATTCAAGAAAGCTGATTTCACATCCAACTGATACAGTTTCCAGCTCTTTTGTGCAGCCAAGGCTATTAAGGTTCTAATGGTATCCAACCTAGCAACCAGTGCATAAGTCTCATTGTAGTCCAAACCAGGCTTTTGTGCATAGCCCTTTGCAACCAGCCTTGCTTTATTCTTCAACACTGTGCCATCAAGATTTAACTTGGTTTTGTAGACCCATTTGAACCCTATTATAGGTTTTTCAGTTGGTCTGTCAACAAGTGTCCATGTGCCATTTTTTTCAATCATAAACAGCTCATCCTCCAAAGCTTTTAACCAAGACTTGTCTTGTTTGGCATCCTCATACTTCTCTGGATCCATAATGCACATATTGCATTGAGCTAACACTTCATTCAGATTCCGCCACTTCAAAGGTGTATGATCAAATGCTTGATTATGCCCTTCACTTAAGTTTGACATGCTTGCAGATTCACCCGAGATAGGTGACTTGAATTGAACTTCAGAGTCTTCAATACTAAGAACTCTCCTAGGTGGAGATAATGTAGATGATGTAGGAGACAACACCATTCTATCACTGCTTCCTGTACTTATGTCACCATGAATAAAGCTTCCAGCATTGGGGGATATTGACTCTGAGTTCTCTTCCCAATTTCAGGCAGCTTCTTCATCAAATACAATGTCTCTTGACAAGAATAGTTTCTTGGATAGTGGATCAAATACCCTATAGCCCTTTTCACAAGTTGCATAACCCACAAATACTCCCTTGAAGCTTTTAGGCTCAAGCTTATGTCTGCGTTCAACTGGAATATGAACATAGCATAGTGAGCCAAATACTTTCAGATGTGCTATTCCTGGTTTTCTTCCAGAATAGGCTTCAATAGGTGTGGTGTTGTTCAAGGCCTTTGTGGGACACCTATTTAAAATGTACACTGACGTATGCACTGCCTCTGCCCAGAGAAAATATGGCATTTTCTTCTCATGCAACATGGATTTAGCCATCTCAATCACCGTTCTGTTCTTCCTCTCCACTACTCTATTTTGTTGTGGAGTATATACAAGAGTCAATTGCCTTTGTCTTCCTTCCTTTTCACAGAATAGATCGAATTCAGACGACTTAAACTCCCCTCCTCTATCACTTCGCAGACACTTAATCTTGAATCCACTTCGTAACTCTGTCATAGCTTTGAATTTCCTAAAACAATTGAATGCATCATACTTATATCTCAGAAAATAAACTCAAGTCATTCTGGAGAAATCATCTATCAACAGCATGAAATACTTATTTTCAGCAATTGAATCATTCCACATAGGTCCACACAGATCAACGTGAACCAGTTCAAGTGGAGCAGTTGCTCTTTACGCTTGATTTCTTGGAAATTCTTCTCTATGTTGTTTTCCAAATTGGCAGCCTTCGCATACTCTACTGTAGTGAGGCAACCCATGCACCATTTCCTTGTCCCTCAATTGTTTGAGACCACCAAAGTGTAAGTGTCCAAGTCTCTTGTGCCAAGTCTCAGTAGAGTGAGTGACACTAGCTTTTAAAACCACTTGGTTCTCAGATAATAAAGCCAATGGATAGCATCTATTCACTTTCTTCTTCACTTTCATAACCAAGCTTTCCAGTGATTGACCATCATACACATTGCACATTCCACCACCAAACACCAAGAAATATCCATGCTCATCCATTTGACCTACACTTAGCAAATTTTCTTTTAAACCAGGCAGATACATTACTTCTCTAACATAATTTCTGCCCTTATTTGTATCAATCACTAATGAGCCCATTCCAGCTACATTCACAAGATCTCCAGTCAGCATTTGAACTTTTCCAGCTATGTTGATTCTTACATCAACAAGCAATTCTATATTCCCTGTCATGTGATTGCTACAACCACTATCGATGTACCATTCTCCATTCACCCTTAGTCCTGTGACTGTGCTATTTGCATAAAATAAATTCCCTATCATCTCCAATTGACTAGCATTGTTTGTCTTTTGCACTA